ATGACACAAAGGCGCACACACACACACACACGCACGCACACGCACACGCACACGCACACACTGCCCTCTCTGTTTCCCAGCGTTGTGACAATAACCAGAGTTGTTCAGTCCACATCCAGCGCTAACCAGCAACAAAATGAGGCTTATCCCTTTAAAAAAAAAAAATCCCTCATCCCAATTCTAACACACCACTGCCCTGAATTATAATTTATATAAAACTTGTTGCCATAGCAGCAAAATCCCCCACAGTCCCTTCTTTTTTGACAGAGGCCCTGCAGTATGGGCAAAAAACCATCAGAGAGTGTAACTTATGAAATGCGGCTTTCCCAAAAAATAAATAAATAAATGATGACAGTAAAATCCGTGCAGAGCCTGAACTACACACAAAGGGCCAGAAAGCAGCTTTGTGGGATTAAAAATTACTGCATGAAGCTTTAAATGACAGTGGCTTGCAAACAAGACCTGCATCATGAATCATAAAATTCAACGTCACGGGAGAAGAGCAATCAATGACTGATTTTACTGACTGTGCATGAAGCGTATAGAGAGCCCAAGTTTTACAGCTAAGCAGGCGTGCAGTGCACTCAAGTGACAACACTGCTGCACACTTTTGTTTCTTGAGCACACATCGCAAGAAACCAGAACATACAAAGACGAATGGACGAGTCAAAAAAATCCCCGGAAATAAGATGATGAAAGACAAAGAAAAAATCATAGGATGAAAAGAAAAAAGGGAGAAGCAGAGATATTAATCAATAATGATATGCAAACCAGCTGAGCGAGAACACTAAAAGACACTCGGGTTTTAAAATAGGCCAGTCAAAGTCTGAGCTAAAAAATTCAGATTGCCTCAATCACTCTTGAGTCATCGTCAGACGCAGCAAGCCGGAGGAAGCCAGAAAGCACTCAGAGCCAGTAATGTGTCAGAGGGCTGCTCGGAGAGGTTTCAAGGTTTTTGCTATTTATTCCTGAACGCAGCTCTGACTCGGCAGCAAAGATCAGCAGCGGTCAGTGTGAGGAGCAAGCAGATGGCCGGCGTGCTATCGGCGCTATATCTCAACCCCCCAACCCCCCCCTGGTTTGTCGAGGCCTTAATACAACGCGGCACGAGAGAGATGCAAAGGCTCAGATGTGACGCCTGTGGGAACGTGTGTGTGTGTGTGTGTGTGGGGTCAGGTCATGTGACTGACTTGACATGTGAAAATATCACTCACTGTCACTGTTGTTTTCTGCTGGTGAATAAAAAGCGGGAAATTCTGCTTTCCTGAGCTTTTCATCTGCACATCTTCTGACGCCATCCTCAGGAAAATACACACTGTATCAGCATTCACAATGTTTCAAATAAAGACGATTCATTTTGGGCTTGCTTGCATTGTTTCCTACTTGAAACTTTAAATTTCTCAGTGTGAATTCTTCACTGATGCTGAAATGTACCTCCGTAATCTTTGATGTTCTCATCCTTTTTTCACAGTTACATTAAATGCTCCTTAAGCCGGCCCCCAAACTGAGTTGAGACATGGTATAAATACACACAAAGCGCTCCTCACACAGCTTTTAAAACACTGCATGATGAAGCATTCGATGTTCCTTTTTAAATTGTACAATGTAGGACGAGTAATCCTCAGCAGAGGTTTACAAAAGCATTAGTGTCCAGATGATTAGACACTGATGATACCGTGTGCGGCCCGCTCTATCCCTCAGAGAGATGAAGAAGAGTATGTAAAAGAAGAGGAGCATGTGTTTATAATGTTTATTTAGCACAGCTGGTTACAGCGCACTCTTCTTCTGAAAGGTCTTTTATATCGTCTTTAGATGATGTTTGGAGTTGTTTTGTACGGAAGCCCTTAGTGGACATTCATCTGTATATCATTTTCTGTGATAATGAGTCGTTTAGAGTTTGTCTTCTCAAGACTTCTCTCATTATCTCGACATAACGACGCTGGCCTCCCCATGATAAAAACTATCTGGACTTGTTGTTCTCATTATCTCAGGTTAACGTAGGATGACAAAGCCGTGTGGTTCCTGTTAAAACTGATTTATTTATCTCATTATCTCGAGAAACGAGACTTGTTTTGTTTTGTACGGAAGCCCTTCGGGGACATGCATCCTTTACACTTCATCCACGTTTCACTTTGTCTTTATTTCTCCCGCGATAATGAGTCGTTTACAGTCGTCTTCTCGAGATCTCTCCACATACCAACGCTGGTTTTCACATGATAACGAGTTCATAAATAGCACTTGCTGTCTTGTTATCTCGACCAATATGTATACATATTAGTCTTTTGTTTATAGTTCATATAAAATGTTGTTTAATGGTATACTTTTGTAAAGTTTATCAAAGTCAGATTCCTTATATGTGTAAGCGTATCAAGCTGATTCTGTTCCTGATAATTGTGTTCATTATCTCAGTATGACAAAGCCGTTATTGTTTCCATTAAAATTGGTTCATTATTCTCATTATCTAGCGATAACAAAGCTAGTTTTCTCCTGACAACAGGATCTTTATCTTGGGATAAAGAAAACAACAACAATAATTGTCCTGTATGGAAGCCTAAGTAGTTATTCATCCATATTATGTTCTCCATTTTCCCGAATAATGAGTAAGATTCTTCTGTTTTCTCAATACCTCAACACAACGCTGGTTTTCCTGTGATAAAAAAAAGTTAATATTAGTCATGATCTCGGGATAACAAAAGCCATGTCATCCTTGCAAATACCTGTATGGATGCAGATGTTAGAGAATCAATGTGGGATTGAATATTTGGGATTAAAATATTTGAATGTATTTCTAGGACCTGGATTAAAGTGTGTGAATTTGTAGGATCCTTAATATACCTCTGGTGTTATTCTTAATTCTGTGTAGGACATGGTCATTATCCAAAATCAAATTGTATCCCGGCGGGGTTGTGGGAAACACCCAGCCCCGATGCACCTACATGGGTTGTTACTTTCCAGTTGAGTGACCATCTTGTCTTCGTTATAGATCTTTTCCACAAGTGTGTGATAACATAACTGCGAACATCCAACACCACAGTGTTTTTTTTTTCCTCTTTTTTTTTCATATTTGCTAAGTTGCTTCTTTGAGATCTCTGTGAAACATCAATACAGGATTACACTTAGTTATGCTAAATCATTAAATGTTTCACTGTGATGGATTCTGATCAGAACAAAGAGGTGAACGTTTAGAGATAGACAGATTATCTGTATGAAGGGATATGTGCACTGACTACATAAAAATGAATCTGCTGGTTTCATTTGATGCCTCATGGTGAAAGGTAACAAAAAAATGTAATTTTATGTAAAAACAAAATCTCTGGATTTTATGATCTAGAGAGAGCTAACCAGGTGAAAAGGGTTTTTATTTTCCTCTCAATGTAACTCTAAAGAGCCAATACTGCTCAAAGGCTTGGCACACACAGAGCACAAGGCCGCAGAATTATGATTTCTTTTCTTTCTTTTTTTTTCAGCCTCCACTTCCTCATCGCAGAGAGAAGCACTGAGAGCATCTATCTTATGTGAGCGGTGAATCCTTGGAGGACGTCGGTGATATTTAAGTCAAACATTCAGAAGCAAAAAAGAGAAGGCGTCTCCACAAAGACCACCTGGAAACAGAGTTGAGGCACCGACGGTCCTTAAGCTTGATGATAATAACACGCTGGAGCCGTAAACACACTTTAACCCTGCAGATGAAACGTTGTGGAGAGGTTGCTTCTTTGTGTTAGAAGTTTTTCAACCCTGTCATTTGGCCAAGTGAGAGATGAAAGACCTGCTCCCCCGGGGGGGCAAGAAACGTTGGAAATGCCCTTGAAAGCCCAAAGGTGTGGAAGCACAACATTACCTGTCAGCTAGGCCTAAGCAAAAAAATAATGTTTAATGGAATAATTCCTGATAATCAGCCCATAAATATAATATATTCTGCATTCACAGGAAATGCATGCTGCTGTAAATCAGGATGTTATACTGCACAGATGAATATTTAAGTGCAACGTACATCAAAAGGCACAACAATTCAAATTCAACACACACTCGTAAAACAACATGGGAATAGCGGGGGCAGAGGATGAAGTGATTTAAAAAAGCAAATGAGGAAGGAGTAAAGGGAATTGTACAGCAGGATGTACAAACAGGCAAGCCTGAATTTTATTTTCAATCTGAGCCTCACTTCTAAGTGATGCTTGTTGTCATAAGGGAGCAAAGTTTGGAGGAGGTGTGTGTGTGTGTGTGTGTGTGTGTGTGGGGGGGGGGGGGGGGGGCCTTATTTAGCTGCATAATTATTTATAAAGGCCCCCAGAACAACATTAATTCTGGCAAGTAAAACAAAATGCCAGCACAGTCAGCGGTCGCAAATGTGAATCATGACTGGTCTGATCGTTGTCGTCGCTAATGACCCCCCCTATTGATGGATGCAGCATCCGAACAGAGCGGGGTTCAGCCTTCAGGCGGCAGCTCGTATACCTCCCAAGCGTGTCGTACGAGCGGGCACGCCGACCAAACCTCACTGGAGGATTGCAGAGTTTTACACTCATTTGCTTTTTTCACTTCAATGCACGCTGTTATCGCATGTCTTAAGATATTTCTGCATCCAGGCATGAGCTGTGTCTAATTCGGCATGCAATACAAACACCAAGCAGCACGGATTTCCAATTAAAATGATATTTTTAGTCATTTGCTCCGCTCTAAATCCCAGTTTCCCTCCACCGTGCACGGCCGTGGAGGGCAAAGTGAAAGTTGATTATTTCCATCAACAATATGAGTGCTTTTTTAATTATGTGACAGCCGAAAGTACTCTAAGATTCTTCCACTTCGGAGGTGAATCAACAACTTGTCATAGGAAAAGCGAATCATCACCAATAACAGCTAAATGGCTAAATTAGACAAATTCCTAATGGAGTTTGGTGCACGCTTCGTTCCCCCAAGAACGGGAGGAAAAAAGGGGTCTAACCCTAAGGTTGATACACCCGCTCAGGGAGAGTGAAGAAGAAAGGAAGGCCCCTTCTTACCTTTGTTAGCTGTGCTATTTTCTTGCTCATCTTCAGGTGCAGGTCTTGGGTATATTCCATGGCGATGCCGGATTGAAAAGACATGCTGGTTCCCGAGGATGTTGTAAATTTCCCCTGACCGGCAGGGCAGTAATACGGCTGCCAACCCGACCCAGTCGCCATCTTCACTATGATGCTTCAGATGCTTTATGGATATTAACTGTGGTGATAAACTGCTGCTGAGGCGGAGAGGACCCGGGACAGTGTCGGGGGATTTTTAAAACCGAAAAATAGTCAAACAATTTGACGCTTGTTTAGCCCAACAAATGTCAAAATGTTGCCTCATTTTGCTTTTGTTCTGCAGCCTGTGAGCACACCGGGAAAAAAAATTGCAATTTTTCTTTAAATTTTCACGCTACCATCTTGTCCGTTTCAAAAAAAAAATGTGTCCGTTGTGAGAGCTCCGAGGTGCGGGTCCAGCTGTCACCTGGTTCGCCGGGATGTGGAGCTTCTTCTCGGGGCAGCTGACTGACTTGTCTCCCCCCTCCTCCTCCTCCTCCTCCCGGTCGGTCACCTTGATACCGAAAATGTCTCAACGGGAGCCTTTAAGAGTGATTCGTCCTCGGTTCATTCCGGCTACATTGACGGAGAGAGTGTGTGTAGAGATTTGAAGGTGTGTGTGTGTGTATGTGTGTGTGTGTGTGTGTGTGTGTGTGTGTGTGACAGACTCCGCGGTTGGTTGCTGCGCCTCTTGTTGCCATGGATCACCTCAACAGTTTATGCTGCATTCACGTAGGATGGGAGCAGCGCTGCGTTCAAGTGTAGTGGGAAAAAATTGGTGATGGGAACTGGTTCGGTTCGGAAGCATATTAAAGAGCGGGAAACGGAATGAACATGACGTGAAAGCGAGACCAGTGGTGATTTTTGAGTATGGGGGGGGGGGGCATAAATCAATTATACCAGCGTTCATTATCATTACCATTTTTTCTGCCGGTGTCCCAATACTAACATTTTTCGTGTTTCTTTTTCTCTCCGATACAATCTCTTCTTTATTTATTTTTTTAACTTTCACTGACACTCTTTTAGTTATCACAGCAATAATGCATGCACAGTTAGCATGGCAACATAAGTGAGTGCCCCCTTAGGGAGGTTTCCTATTGTCATTGCAAAATTTGCACATTTTGAGTCACTGCTTTGGGTTTTAGTTGTTGAGCCCCCAGGGCCCCTTACTAGTCTGGGGCCCCAAGCAGTTGCCTGCCATGCCTGTTGACAAACGCCGCCTCTGAGCGAGACGTAACACTCGTGGTGTGTGTGTTGTTTTTGTTTTGTAACACCATGATTCATATTTATACAAATTGAGGTCTTGTAGGCGTAGATTATTTATTTGTTTGTTTTTTTTTAGTTGCATTGGCTACACAAGATTTCTCTCAGGGTTTTTATTTTTTAAATAAAAGCCTACGTGTTGAGAGATTACAGCACATATACACTAACCTATTCACAGACGGTGCGAGTCAATCTGTGAAGCTAAATTGGCTCAATTATCTGGACCTATTCCCAGTAATTGGCATCTATTAGCCGGTTCACAATCAGTCATCGTCTCATCTCATCGACCCCTCATCATTAATCATTTTCCTTGGACGTAATTTAGAAAGAAATCTAAAATAGTCTATTTAGGGTGGATGATTTTAATGGGGTTTTTTTATAACCTAGAATGAATGATAATGGAAAAACAGATTTTTTTTTTTTACCTTGAATATTTTATTTTAATGTTTGCTTGAGCTGAAATTCTCCTTTTTTTTCCAGGTATGATGAAAACAATGTTGATTAAAGCTTAGATCAATAACGCTCAGTTGGCTACACTTGCACTCCGTCATGTTTATGTCAACCATGATTATTAAAAAATCCATATAGGTACCAGTGATGTAGCCTAATTGATAAATGGATGGAGGGATGCTTGTTACAATACATGCAGGTTGTCATCATTTGAAATGCGGTAACCACATTTACAGATGAGAAATCATAGCTTCAGGATAATCAGTTTATAGATCATTTTGTAAAATGTGTGTAACTAAATGTTCTGAATTTAAACACATTATTACTCTACTTATATTTGATGTATTTGTGTTAAACATCATTGTTCTCACCGATGTAAATAAAGCATGAAGATTCACAGAACTAGATGTGAAAGACTTTTGAGTTTAACACAGTCAAGAAATATTTTCTGAAACATGACATATGATCCATACACATTGGGTCATGAAATGCACTGTATACCTTTAATTTCCAACATACCAAACGTTAGAGGGCTCTAAATGAGTATGTTCCTTGATTTAAAGTATCTTTTTAAATTCATGGAATAACTGAAAAAATGCTCTCACATTTGAATCTATGTAAACATTATGTAATAGAGGTTTGAGTGTGCATCAACTGCTTTGTCATAAGCTGTCATGTCCCTCCTCAGTGTCATCCTAGAAAGATCATATTTAAACATCCGCGCGTGTCGTTCTCCTCGACTTGCACGGCATTGCATGTTTTCATAAAGATTAAACCTGGCCCACCATCTGGTCAGAAAACAAATGTTAACTCTCTTAATTCTTCGTTTGGTCCCGAGGAGATAATAAAACACGACAAGCAAATGTTGTGCAAATGAAACACAGTTGGTCTCCCTTCAAAATTGGAAGTACTTATAATAAATGTGGTTCTTGCTTTCAGCATTTTTAAAACGATGTGAAAAAAAAAACAACCTTAAAATAAAACAAGTCACTCGCAGATTTTTATTTGTCCTCCTTTCTGAGTTTTTATGCCAGCAGATGTAACTCCCAGCAGGGAGGTCATGTAAAAAAAACACAGTTCTTCCATGGAACATGAATGCACCAAGTTGAATTTCAGTGACGTCACATCATCTATCAAAGCTTAACTAAAGTGAAATAAAAAATGTAAACTGGCTGGAAATGGCAGCTGCAGGCCGTGCCTCATAATCACCAGGATGACGCAAACACTATGGTTGCTATTTCTGCTTCCACATGTTTTTTTTTAACAGCGTCATGTGTGCCTCTACATAATTGAGCCGTAATTCCCCCAATGAGGATTTCAAATGTTAACAATTGATGAATTCAATGTGCTCTTTTGGAATCCAAGCTGAAAGTAGGAACCGTTCACAAAAGGCTTTCAAACAGATAACTATAGTGCAGTTTAAATTCAGACGACAGTGACATTATGGCTAACAAATATATCAGATATGGAGGAAATTAATTCTCATTTTACATCCAAAAAAACATAGTTGGGCTCTATTCTCTCTAGTAAGATAAGAAAAGCCCCAATGTTTTATACCCAATCAAAAGTCTGCCTTAGGGCTGGGCGATATGACCTCAAATCAACATCACGATTAATTGAACATTTTACCTCGATTACGATTAATGAACGATTGTTTTTGTTTTTGCCCTCATAGTTCACTGACGAGGTCTCTACTGTAAATACGCTCATCTATTAAAGCTGGGATTTGTTTTCTGATGAAAGAGTGCATATCTGATTAACTATTCTGTGGTTATTTATTGAATATTTCAAACTGAAATCAAAGCATCGCTTGAAATTAAAATGACACATTTTAGTTATAAAGTAGAAATTAATTTCTCTGAAACAGTAGAAAATAGATAACCTGTATTTCTTGCAAACAGTTTCTGTGCAGTATTTACATTTGACTTCTTCTTGTTCTGTGTTGTCTTCCCTATATGACAAAATGTGTCCAAACGATGGACTTTGCTTCCTTGACGCGGATTAGATGACTCTGCCCTGAAAATAATCAAAATAATCGACATGGGCAAGATTACAGTCAGTTTTTGAGGCTCTGAATGACGGTTTCGATTAATTTTCGATTAATTTCCCAGCCCTAGTCTGCCTGTATGATTAAATGAAGGACAAACTGTAAAAACAATCCAAAAGGTTTGGAGTAGAAATAGGACATCAGAAGTGTGCTATAAGCAAAAGGTCAGCTCATCTTCCCTCCTTCCCTTCTACCCCAATGTGATTCCAAATTCCTAACCCCTCCCTAAAATGTGATAATAGTTATAATCCCAAAGCCAAATCCCAGTGTCACTCTTAGATTCTTAGTTTCTAAAAGATAAATAACTTTAAAGATTCACACTGTGAGTAATAAGCTGCACACATGCTGTAGGCCAAACCACACACGCTTCATAATAACTGCTGTTTACTCAACCTTAAAGCCAATATGGTTACACTAATGCTGTACTGTCTTCATGTTGTGTGGCAATAGCTTCCTTAAAGCAGTGAAGGCGGTGAACACATATTGACGGTGCTGTAGTCAGAAAGAGAAACGGATACAAGGTGTGGGGAAAGCAACGGTAAAAGAATTAATTCGGTGCATTTATTATCAGGTTCAATAAGAAAGAGCCGCAGGGTCCATCAATAAAGGGATTACATTTCCAGGTGCTGAATGTATTCAGCGTACAAGGTTATCAAGCAGGCTCAGTTGTTGTTTATGTTGGTTACCCGCGGCAGGAGCAGGAGGCATCAGTAAGCTTTGACAAATCCCCTGCATCTACAATCATTTACTTCCAAAACCTACAAATCCTCAGCTTATAGAATAAAAACATTCAGGAAAAGAGTAGAGCATGAACACACATGACTGACAGTGTCTCATCTGGCCAGCTTGATGTATTTCGTTGACCCCAAACTCTTCCTGAATTTTCCTGATTTCTTTGTTTTTAAGCAACGCCAACAGCATTTGGCTATTTAGATTTGTAAGTTTGTTGGTCCATGTTGAATCTTAACTACTGTTATATGGATTTCCATCAAATGTCTTTAAGATATTAATGGCCAGAACGGAAGTACAAAAATTTGTGCTAATGCCGAGCCTCCAACTGCTTATCCAAAATTACCAAAGTGACAGCATAAGGACTGAAGAATTGCGCCGTTTACTCAGAAGGACCCAAATGAACGGACCTAGGAAAAAGCTGGTTATCTGCCCTATTTTCTGATGTTTTCAGAAAATGACAGCGCTGACTTGACCATTAATACGTTTGTGAGCGTTAAACCCAGTCATGAATCCTCACACCAACTTGGGGTTTTGAAGTTATCTGTTTATACTGTAACTATTTAGTGTTTACTAATGGTGTTGGGGATCTTTGTGTTCCAACTCTTGGCAAAAAAAAAAGAAATCCCATATT